GATAGAGCACGGCGCACCATCACATTGACTCGGTTACACATGGTGCACCAGGTCCTTCAGCGCTTCGGCTTCCAGTTCTCCTCGCCACAGCCCACTCCTCTGTCTACCGGCCACTCGCTCTCAGCTCCACCTTCGGACAAGTCCGTAGAGACGAGTGGCCCGTACCCAGAGCTTGTGGGTTGCCTCATGTACCTGGTGCACACGATCTGACCTCGCGTACCCTCTTAGCCTTCTGGCTCGCTACGTGGCTCCCGCTAGGCACCGAAAGGTGCACTGGGATGCTGCGAAGAGGGTACTGCGTTACTTGTGCAGTACGTCGGGCATGGGGCTCGTGCTTGGAGGACGGGGTCCAGTTGTCCTCACTGGTCACGCAGACGCTTCTTGGGTTGACGACCCAGCTACGCAGCGGACGTCACAGGGTTACACCTTCAGCCTTGGTTCCGACTCTGTTTCGTGGCGGTCTACCCGCTCGTCTTCGGTTCTCAGCTTCAGTTGTGAGGCTGAGATCTACACAGGGACCATGGCTGCACAGGAGCTACGCTGGCTCACCTACCTGCTGACTGACTTGGGAGAGCAGCCTCGTTCGCCTCCAGTTCTGTACGTAGACCACAAGGCCATGATTGCCTTGTGTCAGGAGCACAGACTGGAGGACAGAACGAAGCACATCGCTCTGCGATACTTCCTTGCTCGAGAGTTGCAGCAGCGTGACCAGCTTCGTCTTGCGTACGTGGCCACTAGGGCCGACACTGCTTATATTGTCAGAATGTTATCTTATGCTCTAGCCTGTAGTGGGGTGCTCTATAGCGAGTACAACCCTTCTAGGGTTTGCTATTTGTATCCTCATTCTTGCTAGTGCAATCCTCTTCTTTCTTCTAAACTTTAACATGGTATCAGAGCAGGTCGATCCCCTTGGATCGATCCTGTGGGTGGGCTCACCACCTTGTTGCTTCCGCTGCAACTGCTACTGCTACTCTCTGTGCCGCACGCCCCGTGGCGTGCGGCAGTTTTTCTTCCCGCCGTGCGCCCCGAGGCGCGCGGCGGTTTTCTGCCCGCCGTGCGCCCCGAGGCGCGCGGCGGTTTTCTGCCCGCCGTGCGCCCCGAGGCGCGCGGCGGTTCTCTGCCCGCTGTGCGCCCCGAGGCGCGCGGCGGGCTTCGGCCCCGTCAACCGTCGCGTCGCCCTCGGGAGGCGCCGCGACGGGCGACGGGGACCCGTTCGTCGCCCCCCGTCGCCCGTCGTGGCCTGCGCGCGGCCCGTACAGGCAGCGCGCGACCCGTACGGGCTGCGCCAGGCCCGCGCGCCACCCGTACGGGCTGCGCCAGGCCCGCGCGCGGCCCGTACGGGCTGCGCCAGGCCCGCGCGCGGCCCGTACGGGCGGCGCCAGGCCCGCGCGCGGCTCGGGCCGCCTGCGCGCGGCTCGGGCGTCTCTACCAGGCCCGTGGTGGGCTCGTTCCTCGCTGCCCCTGCCCTCCTCGCTGTCCCCCAGTGCTTCTACTGGCGCCCCACCCCTCCTACTCCCCATTCTCCTGAATTAGGGTTTGGGGGTGAGGGGTATGGGGGTGACTTCACTCTGTACCGTTCCCTGCTCTTCCTCCTCCTCCGTCTCCTTGTGCTGCAGCTGCCGCTGAGGGGGGGTGGACGTGTTGGAGCCGGTGGAGTGGTACTAAGGGGGGGTGAAGGGGGAGTGGAGCTAGCGGTGTAGCAGCGGGTATGTGCCAGGGGGGAGTGGGATAGTTTGGGGAAGCTGAATGGAGGTTGCCGTCGTGTCGCCAGCAGCACCTGTATTCCGGGGACTTCGTCCGGTAGCCCAGTCGTAGCCAGCTGTGCCAGCCGCCCGTGGGTCCGTTGCTCGTCTGCCGCTACTTTAGCCGCGGGGCCTGTTACTCCTGTATTCCGGGGACTTCGTCCGGTAGCCGCTGTGCCAGTCTGCCTCCTGTTGCCTGTGTGTCTGCAGCTTCAGCCGTCGCCTCCTATCTCCTCTCCTCTCACTCTCTCTCCTCCTCCTCACTTGCCCGTTGTGACTACCACTAGCTTTGCTCATAATTGTGAACTTAAACTATTGCTTCTTGAACTTGTGCTCAGAATGTGTGGTGACATTGTGATCCACCCTGAGCTTGTACTCCTTTGCTTACTCTGCTGATTACACCCCACTTTGGCTATGGGGGTGTGTCAGAATGTTATCTTATGCTCTAGCCTGTAGTGGGGTGCTCTATAGCGAGTACAACCCTTCTAGGGTTTGCTATTTGTATCCTCATTCTTGCTAGTGCAATCCTCTTCTTTCTTCTAAACTTTAACATATATATTCACCAAGACACTTCCGCCTGGTGATCATCAGCGCTTCTCTACTGTGTTAGGCCTTGTGCCTACTTTGCCTCACTTGCTCACTGCGTGAGTTTGCTTGTACTATGATCTATATATATACCTGCATGCTTACACTTGCTAGGGTATGATCACTGTATTGTTTGTTCTCTTTTATATAACTCTGCATGTGAACTGGCCTTGTGGCCCTTTGCTTGTGCTCGGATTGTGTGGTGACTTTGTGATCCACCCTAAGCTTGCATTGTTTTTCTTAACTGGTCTTGTGACCACTTGTTCTCCCCCACTTTGTCTATGGGGGTGTGTCAGAATGTTATAGTGCTTACATTTGTGTAGGCTATAGTGTTGTAGCCCATAAGGGGTACAACCCAATTAGGGTTAGTACTTGAACCCAACTGTTTCATAGTTCATCCATTCTCGTTCATTCTTCTGACATAGGGTTTGGGTGTTAGGCAACTATCGAGAGTAGAAAGGAAGGGGGTTTCACTAGAAAAAATTGTAAACATATATGCAAGGAAAAGAGAGGTGCACCACCAAACAAGTTTAGAACTACATTAAGTCTACACTGTCAGAGGTCCACTGGAGATCCCCGATTGATCCTAGGGAAGGGTTACAGGCATGTTGGCCCGGGGGGTTATGGGCGCACTGACCCGCTATTTAACAAGCCATTTTATCCCAATGGTCTAGTGGTTGGGATTCTGACATGGTATCAGAGCGAAGGTCTCGGGTTCGACTCCTAGTGTGTGCACTTCGGGCATCCCAGTGCGGGGGGGGGTGTTAGAGGTCCACTGGTGATCCCCGATTGATCCTAGGGAAGGGTTACAGGCATGTTGGCCTGGGGGGTTATGGGCGCACTGACCCTCTATTTAACAAGCCCTTTTATCCCAATGGTCTAGTGGTTGGGATTATGACATACACTACAGACAGTTATATATAATGTATGTAATTATATTCCGACACACCCCCTAACTGCCTACAGTGAAGAACCGTGTGCAGAACACCCCCTGAAGGGGTACACCAAGTGCAGCGGAAGAAGGAGAGGGCAAGTGAGGAGGAGGAGGGAACATGAGCAGAGAGGAGGTGGCGGGCGGCGGCTGAAGCTGCTAGCACACGGGCAACTGGCACACGGGCAACTGGAGTAACTGGCTCTGCGGCTAGACGAGCGGCTGGAGCAACTGACTCATGGGCAACTGGAGCAACGGGCTCACGGGCGACTGGAGTTGCTGGCTTCACAGCGGCCACCCCCCTTCAAGCTCCCCCCCCCTCAAAGAGAGACAGGGCAGTCAGGGCAGGCACAAGGCAGGGGCGGCTCAAGGCAGGGGTGGCTGGAAACGGAGAGGAGAGAGGGGGGGGGACGAGGCGAGTGGTGCTGCAGATCCCCTCCTGCCACCGCCTTAACCTCCAAGCTCATCCCTCCCCCCTCCCAACACAACAACAGGCGGTAGGGAGAGAGAGGAGGAGGTGGGCGGCTGGCGCTGCAAAACCCCTCCTGCCACCCCCTCACCCTCCACTATCCGCCACCCCCATCACCCTACCCCCCACAGGCGCTGGTGCTGGCAGAGGCACGGGCAGGGCGCGAGCTCCACTCCCCTGCCACCTCCCCCTCACCCGCCACCTCCTCGCACTACAGAAGCAAGCGCGGGCAGGAAAGGCGACGGAGCGGAAGAAAACGGGATCAGGGGGAGGGAAAGGGCCGCGGCGACCGCTACGAGCGTTGTCCCCCCGACAAATCTCCCCCCCCCTCCCCCCCTTTGGTGCACCAGCAGCAGTGAGAAGGGGGGTAAATGGGGAGGGGCGGCGCAGCAGGCGGCTGCAGTTGCGCGTGTGTCTGTAGCTGCACGTGACGCTGCAGTCGTGCGTGCGGCTGCAGCTGTGCATTTTCGCAGCAGTGGCGCGCGCGGCCGGTGACGTGCGTGCAGCTGTGCGCTCGTGGCTGCGTGCGTGCGGCTGTGTGCATTGCGCGCCACTGGACGGGGACGGGACGGGCTGGGGCAGCGCGGGACGGACGGGATGTGACGGGGGGGCGCGACCAACTCGCCGCCATGACCGTTGCGACGGTCGCGACCGTTGCGGCCGTCGATAGTACGGCCGTGACGGGGGTGCGGAACATGCGCCGTGAGAGGAGGAACACGCGGTGGGCCCATGAGGGAATCGGTCTAGGAACGACCGGCTCTGATACCATGATAATATAAGCTTAGTAGTGCATAGGGTTTGGGTGCTAGGCAACTATTGAGAGTAGAAAGGAAGGGGGTTTCACTATAGAAAGTTGGAAACATATATGCAATGAAAAGAGAGGTGCACCACCAAACAAGTTTAGAACTACATTAAGTCTACACTACAGGCAGTTGTAATATAATGCATGTAATTATATTCTGACAATCGTACCCGTTTGTTTTTTACCAAACATATTATCGAGACCCTTGTTGATTACGAGTGGCATATTTTCCCTAACAATCACCCACAAGCCGAACTTCTCCGATAGAAGTTCCATCCACAAAGCTTAGTTTCTCATACAGAACTTCAGTATCAGGACAGGTTCATAACTTTCATAGAATCTCAGAATACGAAGTGCTTGAAACCACAACAGGAAAAACTGAGCAGTCATCAGATATTACGTGTCATTTACTACATAACAACACTGGCATTATGTAATCATACAACTCCTCTGATCCTCGCACTCCTCACCTCACTCCCATTCGCCCCAATCCTGCAAACGATATCCATGCCAAGCGCCAAAGGAAACATTAATACTTGCATGCTTTGACACGTACGATCTGGACAGGCATATAATGAACGACCACAGTGCTTACCCACCAAAACAGGAATCCTTCAACAACCACACAATGCATCCTTCATGCCCACCCTCACACACCCCTGCCCAATGCATGTTCCACAGAGACAGCTCATCCATGACTTACCTCATCCTCCACTCCGTCTCCACCTTCTTTCTTGACCTTCCCTCCCCTCTCCTTTGCCTCGTTGTTTTTATCGTTTTCTTCTTCCTTCCCCGCTACGTCCTCCACACTTGTTGTATTTGAATCGCTGGCAACTGTAGGCTCGGCAGCAGGCTGGGCACCCACAGCTGCATCTGACACATCCGAATCAGGAGCAGCAGCAGCCGGCTCAGCTACTGTAGGAGGTTCAGCAGCAGAGGGTTGTGATGCCTTCAAACCGTCCTCCTTAGAAGCATCATCTTTAGACACCACTTGCCACTCGCTGCCTGCTGAGCTGTCACTGCTGCTGCTGCGGTTACTAGGTTCTGCAGGGGACGCAGACAAGGAAAAGAAGAGATGTCAAATGAGACAGACATGCCATCCAGTGGCACTGTTTTACCGCATGGGATGCAACCAGCAAATGGCAAGTGAGGGCAGGGTGCAGGGAGGTGTGGGAGGAGGACACGCTTCTCCATGCTTACCCCTCAGCCTCTCTCTGGCTGCAATCTCAAACGCAGCCTGCATAGAAGTCGCATTCGTTGTTGTCCCCGATGTGGTCGGCCCCGTGCAGCACATGCATACAGACGACGCAACCAGCAGGCACAAATAAGCACCTCCACTATCAGGTCCAGGCAAACACTTCCTGGCAGCCTTGCACCCGCGAGAAACAACTGGGTCAGCCCAGCGAAGCTAGGGACACCAACCTGGATGTCGGATAACGGCAGCGCGGTGTCTTCCAGCCCAGCATCCTCCAGGCGAGGGACCTTCACCTCTGATAGAGGCATCTTCCCTAACAGACGCGTGCACACAGGAGCCGATGACCATTGAAGAGACAGTGAGATTGTACTATTCATTGCAGGGTAGCACCCAGCCAACACCATGCTCAGCACCGTGCACAACCTTGAACGGTTACCACACTACAATAGGCAGCTCTACGGAGCTGGGTAGTGTACAAAGTGTACAGGGCAGTGTCTAGAGTCACCTGGTTGCGGTGATGTCGCTGCTTGACTCGATGCCTCTCTCTCCTTCTCGCCCTCCTCTCCTCCTGCATCTTTTGCTTCCCCACTCCTCTTTGCCTCACTCCCTGTCCCTGCACACCCGCAGCCAAGCAGTACACAAGCCAAAGGAAGGCCAGGACATGTTGACATGAAGAAAAGAACCCAGTGGTGCAAAAAAACAAGATCCCATCATTTGCAAAACCATCCTCCCGAGTACCTGACACCCTTCCAGCACCAGCACTAGCATTCTCACCAGCAGCTGCTTCTTCTTCCACTGGGACCTTAACCGTTGCCTCCTCGGGCTTCTCAGATGGAGAGGACGCAGCAGGGCCATTGCCATCAGCAGCACCACCAACACCAGCAGCAGCAGCATCATCAGCTGCAGCGACCCCAGCAGCTGCCCCTGCATCCACATCAGCAGCATCGCTTTTCCCCGTGGCGCCATGGTGGGCAGCAGCAGGGCTGCTCTGGGCGTCATCTGCATCGTCATCCACATCCCAGCTCAGGTCCTCCTCCTCTGATGTCGTCGCCCCTGCAGCCAGGCAGCAGCAGGGTGGCAAGACAGTGGGAACATAGCAGATAGTAATTTAATGGGTGCTCTGGGCGTCGTCTGCATCGTCATCCACATCCCAGCTCAGGTCCTCCTCCTCTGATGTCGTCGCCCCTGCAGCCAGGCAGCAGCAGGGTGGCAAGACAGTGGGAACATAGCAGATAGTAATTTAATGGGTGCTCTGGGCGTCGTCTGCATCGTCATCTACATCCCAGCTCAGGTCCTCCTCCTCTGATGTCGTCGCCCCTGCAGCCAGGCAGCAGCAGGGTGGCGAGACAGTGGGAACATAGCAGATAGTAATTTAATGGGTGCTCTGGGCGTCGTCTGCATCGTCATCCACATCCCAGCTCAGGTCCTCCTCCTCTGATGTCGTCGCCCCTGCAGCCAGGCAGCGGCAGGAGAGGGAGATGGTGGGCTCATTTGAGCAAGATGCATCTCGAGTCGCCTCCAACTCATGCAAGGAGTGAAGCATAGCAGAGGGTACGCCTTGGCGCTTGAGGGGTTCTCAACGCAAGACGATGCACTCACTCGGGATTCCCAAAGTCGAGGTGATTTGAATACAGGAGCGTCAAGCATGGGGTGAGTTGAGGCACCAAGAAAGCTCACTTTTGACAAGGTCGGCGCGGGCGTCCTCGGCCTGTTGCAGGCGGTAGAGGCGGTAGAAGTAGCGCGTCCAGAAGGTCTCCCTCTCCACAATCAATGGCACTGCCGAGCGCACGGCAGCAGGAGGAGTGAGAGAGGTTGATGCATGACAGTACAAAACAGAGAAGAAAGATGTCAGATGACGAACGAGGCAGCACAGTCTGCACCGCATGTAATGGCTCACCAATGCACGACAGTTTTCCTTCAAGACTCACCGATGCGTGACTGCAGCTCCTGCATGAACGCATTGTCCTTGAGCACTGCCTCCACGTCCGCTTCCCTGTTGCACCCCACCCACATGTGGCACATGCAGCAACCACGTCAGCACTTGATACAATACACCTACACCTACAGGAACCTGCACTGCTACGTCACAAGCTGATTGCGATCAACAGCCAACACCCTTCGCCCCTGAAACATGACGACCCACAGGAGGTGCCTCAATGGAGTGGGTCTAAATGCCTCTATGACATGATGGAAGGTGTCATGGCATGAATGGCTGAGTGGGTGGGGGCACACCTGTTCTTGAGGTCGAACGATTCAATCCACTTGCCAAAGTCGTCTGTGTCCTCTGGCTCATCACAGTATGTGCTGCTGTCCCTCTGCATGGCGCTCACCTGCGAGCACGGCACACAGAGATGACGAGGGGTGAAGAGGGGTGAGGACGGGTGAAGCAGAATGAGAACGTACGAGGAACGAAGAATAGGGAAAGGAAGACAACAAAAAACAACAAAGGGGTGGGGCCAGTGAGCAGTGAGCAGTGAAATCGACTGTCAGCTGGGCAAGATAACATCGGGACTAGTGCAGGCCGGAATGGGAAAGTCCGGAATGGGGCAGGTGGAGAGAACGGGGTGAGTGGGAGCAGGTGAGTGGGAGCAGGTGTGTGGGAGCAGGTGAGTGGGAGCAGGTGAGTGGGAGCAGGTGAGTGGGAGCAGGTGAGTGGGAGCAGGTGAGTGGGAGCAGGTGAGCGGGAGCAGGTGAGTGGGAGCAGGTGAGTGGGCGCAGGTGAGTGGGAGCAGGTGAGTGGGAGCAGGTGAGTGGGAGCAGGTGTGTGGGAGCAGGTGAGTGGGAGCAGGTGAGTGGGAGCAGGTGAGTGGGAGCAGGTGTGTGGGAGCAGGTGAGTGGGAGCAGGTGAGTGGGAGCAGGTGAGTGGGAGCAGGTGAGTGGGAGCAGGTGAGTGGGAGCAGGTGAGTGGGAGCAGGTGTGTGGGAGCAGGTGAGTGGGAGCAGGTGAGTGGGAGCAGGTGTGTGGGAGCAGGTGAGTGGGAGCAGGTGAGTGGGAGCAGGTGAGTGGGAGCAGGTGAGTGGGAGCAGGTGAGTGGGAGCAGGTGTGTGGGAGCAGGTGAGTGGGAGCAGGTGAGTGGGAGCAGGTGTGTGGGAGCAGGTGTGTGGGAGCAGGTGAGTGGGAGCAGGTGAGTGGGAGCAGGTGTGTGGGAGCAGGTGAGTGGGAGCAGGTGAGTGGGAGCAGGTGAGTGGGAGCAGGTGAGAGGGAGCAGGTGAGTGGGAGCAGGTGAGTGGGAGCAGGTGAGTGGGAGCAGGTGAGTGGGAGCAGGTGAGTGGGAGCAGGTGTGTGGGAGCAGGTGAGTGGGAGCAGGTGAGTGGGAGCAGGTGAGTCGGAGCAGGTGAGTGGGAGCAGGTGTGTGGGAGCAGGTGTGTGGGAGCAGGTGAGTGGGAGCAGGTGAGTGGGAGCAGGTGTGTGGGAGCAGGTGAGTGGGAGCAGGTGAGTGGGACCAGGTGAGTGGGAGCAGGTGAGTGGGAGCAGGTGAGTGGGAGCAGGTGAGTGGGAGCAAGGTGAGTGGGAGCAGGTGAGTGGGAGCAGGTGTGTGGGAGCAGGTGAGTGGGAGCAGGTGTGTGGGAGCAGGTGTGTGGGAGCAGGTGAGTGGGAGCAGGTGAGTGGGAGCAGGTGAGTGGGAGCAGGTGTGTGGGAGCAGGTGAGTGGGAGCAGGTGAGTGGGAGCAGGTGAGTGGGAGCAGGTGAGTGGGAGCAGGTGAGTGGGAGCAGGTGAGTGGGAGCAGGTGAGTGGGAGCAGGTGAGTGGGAGCAGGTGAGTGGGAGCAGGTGTGTGGGAGCAGGTGAGTGGGAGCAGGTGAGTGGGAGCAGGTGTGTGGGAGCAGGTGTGTGGGAGCAGGTGTGTGGGAGCAGGTGTGTGGGAGCAGGTGTGTGGGAGCAGGTGTGTGGGAGCAGGTGAGTGGGAGCAGGTGAGTGGGAGCAGGTGAGTGGGAGCAGGTGAGTGGGAGCAGGTGAGTGGGAGCAGGTGAGTGGGAGCAGGTGAGTGGGAGCAGGTGAGTGGGAGCAGGTGTGTGGGAGCAGGTGAGTGGGAGCAGGAGAGTGGGAGCAGGTGAGTGGGAGCAGGTGAGTGGGAGCAGGTGAGTGGGAGCAGGTGTGTGGGAGCAGGTGTGTGGGAGCAGGTGTGTGGGAGCAGGTGTGTGGGAGCAGGTGAGTGGGAGCAGGTGTGTGGGAGCAGGTGAGTGGGAGCAGGTGAGTGGGAGCAGGTGAGTGGGAGCAGGTGAGTGGGAGCAGGTGAGTGGGAGCAGGTGTGTGGGAGCAGGTGTGTGGGAGCAGGTGAGTGGGAGCAGGTGAGTGGGAGCAGGTGAGTGGGAGCAGGTGAGTGGGAGCAGGTGTGTGGGAGCAGGTGTGTGGGAGCAGGTGTGTGGGAGCAGGTGTGTGGGAGCAGGTGAGTGGGAGCAGGTGAGTGGGAGCAGGTGTGTGGGAGCAGGTGTGTGGGAGCAGGTGTGTGGGAGCAGGTGTGTGGGAGCAGGTGTGTCCTCACCAGTGCTTCATATCGGCTGTACTTGCTGCTTCCATTTGCAGCAGCAGCAGCAGCGCAGACCGCAAGGAAAAGGAGAAGGGGGTTGTCATGCAGATAGGAGGCGGGGGTGAGGACACAAACATGTGAGTACAATCTTAAGGGCTGATGCACGCTGAGAGCAGCAAAGCGGGAAGCCAGGCGGTTGGTGGAATGAAACCCAACAGGTAAGTGCTGTGCCCACCAAAGGGAGCAACTCCAAACAGCACGTTCCTACTTTCACATAGCCTCCTCCCCCTCTACATCACTCCATTCCCCACTCCTCATTTCTCCCAATCAATCCAATCCTCCTTCTACTCCCCTTCCGCTTTCCCCCAACACCCCTTCCCTCCCCCTCCCCTGCTTTCACCCTCTGGGGATGGCGGAGGCGAGTCCAGCAGCAGCGGAGGGTGCCCGGGGGCGGGCGCCGGCAGCGTTGGCAGCCACCTCCTCCTCCACCATGGCCACCGCCTCTTTCACTGACGCCAGGATCTCCGTCGTGCTGCTCCGCATAAAGAGAGAGGGATGGGGGTGGGGGGAGGGGAGAGGGCGGGAAGGTGATTGATCAGCAGGTGGGGTGGGCGCGAGGAGTGGTCTTTACTCCACAATTGTTGCATAGAGCCTTGAACTGCATGCAACTGCGCCTGATGCAGAGGCAAAGAACCCTGTCTATCTCTTATACAGGCCAAGAAGCCAAGTGAACATTGTCAGGAGTCACTTCCAGATTCTCGTCTTGCACTGCGCATGCATTCACACACACCACACTCACCCTTTCCATAGAGACGAGCCGAACTCCTCGATTGTGTGTCCCACACCCTCCAGTGAGGTCTTCAGGGCAACCACGAGAGGGATCCACGCATTAGACATGGGCGGGTCGGGTTGGGATGACGGGGGAGATAGGGAGAAAATAAGGAAGAGGAAGAAAGGGAGGGGCGGAGAGCGGAAGGAAGGGGGAGGGAGCAAGAAGGGAAGGGGGGAGAGGGGGGAAGAGGAAGGAAGGAGGGAGGGACGGAGGGAGAGTAGAAGGAAGAAGAGCGAAAAAGAGGGAAAGCAAGGGAAGGGAAGGAGGGAGGAAGGAGGGAAAAAGGAAGGGGAACGGGGGGGGAAGCTGGGAAGGGAGGGAGGGAGAGGAGGGAGGGAGGGGAGGGAGGGGAGGGAGGGAGGGAGGGAGGGAGGGAGGGAGGGAGGGAGGGAGGGAGGGAGGGAGGGAGGGAGGGAGGGAGGGAGGGAGGGAGGGAGGGAGGGAGGGAGGGAGGGAGAGAGCGAGGGATGCAGCATGGACGGGACAATGACAAGAGAACAAGCTGGCAGAGCTCAGAGGACGAGATCTTGTTGGACTACAGAGGAGGACACCACAGCGGCAGCCACGGCTTCGCAGCTCTCACCTGAGCCACTTGGGCGCCGGACTCGAGTGAGGAAGGGAGGTCGCTGACGGTGGTGGCGGTGGTTTCCACCAGCTCCTCCGTCTCCTTCTTGAGCCCCTCACCGAACTCCTGCAGCTCCTGCTTGTACTCCCGCAACACCTCCTCCGACTGCTCTCACATGTAGCACGCATGGTAGGCACGGAAGGCATGGCGGGGACAGCAGGAATGGCACACACGGCAGGAATGGCGGGCACAGCACGCATGGCAGGCATGGCACGCATGGCACGCGTGGCACGCATGGCAGGCATGGAAGGCACAGCAGACACGCCGGCAGGCACAGCAGTCACGGGTTGCAGAGTCGCGGATTGGAAGGACCAGCAGAAAGACAGCAGAGCAGCCATGGCGAGGAGCAACCATGCATGCAGAAGAATCACCTTCGGTTTCAGCGAAGGCGAAACGGCGTGATGAGAACATGGAAGCAGAAAACGTTCTAGTTAAGGCGTCGGAAAGAAGAGCAGAAGAGGATGGCTTACTTTGGTGGCGATTGTTTGTAGCAGACTGCCGAGATTCCAGGCACCGCTGTTGAGTGGATTACATCACAAGTGGGGAAGACACGTGTCAATGCAACATGGCGTCATACACGCGGCAAACTAAGGTTGCACACGAAGGAAAAGCGACAATGGCGACAAGCCGTGTTACTGAGTGCTTTCCCGTAGGGGCATCCTGCTCCGACCAAACAAGTTAGATGAGTACTCACAAGGCTGAAGGCTGCTCTTCCTCTGTCTCCTCCTCCTCTTCAATCTCGCCCTGGAGACGTGGTCATAAAGCACGGGAATCATCACAACAACAACGATAGATGCGTTATTTTTACTGAAACTAAGAAGTACGAATGTCTCAGCCTTAATGCTGTAGCATATCGTAAATTAAGAAACGGAAACTAGAGAAGAATCTACGCACCTCTTCAGCAGTTCCCTCTGAGGGCTTGTCGCCTTCGCCTTCGTTTTTGTCACCCTCAACCTCTTCTGTCTCAGGAGTTGTCTCTTCCTCCTCATCGTCCTGAAACAATACCGCTTTAAAGAAGTCCATACCCACAATATAACCCTAGTTTTCGATAATGTCCAACGTCCTAATAACTACTCTAGCACTGTTCCTCGCAAGATGCTACTCGCAGCTCCACCGACTAAGCGATAGACCTAGACCTAACGTTCTCGGCACGACGTGAAGGGAGGAGCCATGAATGTATAATCAACAAGCTAAGCGGAGGCAATGTCGCAAGAACACCACTGAACTACTAGAAACGTACAAGCTGGCAGCGAATTTGCGAGTGTGACAAAAAATAGGAAATCCCTACGAATTCAGGTCTGAAACCGAGGGAGCTCTTTGAAGGGTGCAATCGGTTGTTTTTGGGTTGCGAAGCAACCCTTTACGATCCATTTTGCCAAATTTTATCTTCATATTTATTCATTTTAAATAAAATATGAAAATAAAATTCATAAACTACAGTATCCTTCCCATACTGTGCATAGTGAGTAATTTTCAATACTGTTCACAGTACATCAAACCATATGATTTTTTTATCAGGTGTTTTGTGCAAATATGTTGTACTCAGGGCCTCAGAAGTCAGCGAAAAAAGGCTGATTAGGGGTAAAAAGGTAAGGTTTTCAGTGCTAGGGATTTAGTGGGGCTGATTTGTCAGCTTTTTTTGTATTGTATGGGCTGATTTTTCAGAGTTTTTTTAGAGGTGTAAACTGACAGATCCGCGTTGTAACGGGGATGTAGGCTGAAATCCCACTAGTGGAGATTCGTGTAGTGCTGAAACCCTCTGAGGTATCGGATATTTTACCAAAACTTGCCTGACCAATCAAATGGCACGAATGTACAATCTAGTTTCTGGTTTCTGGATGCAAGTGTTTCTACTTGGCTCGTCACTGCAGATTCGCCCTGACTCAGCAAATTCGCCCTGAGACAGCAAATTTGCCCCAACAGAGAAAATCGCCCCGTCAGAGCACAACAAATTCGCCCAATCACAAGAAATTCGCTCTGACACAGCATGTTTTACCAGAAATTCGCCCAATCTCAGGAGATTCGCTCGGATTCACCATGCCGCGCGCACTGTTGTCGCCGACAGAAGGTATCTTCGTGTATGAAGTTGTAGGCACGTCGTGTGCACTGTTGGAAGCACGTCGCATGCCCTTTTGTCAATGCCACACTTTGAAATTGAATGACTGTGTTGCGCTATAGGAAAGCTTGAAGTTATCTTCAGCCTTTCTTTTTAAGCAAGGCTGAATGATCAGCCATTTAACTAAACTAAACACTGAAATTTCAGCTTTTGTTTTCAAGGCTACCCTGATTGATCAGCCTTCAGCTCACTCCTAAGGCTGACGATTCAGCCTAGGCCAAAACGAATTTGAGGCCCTGGTTGTACTGTTTGCATTATATGTGTTACTATTAAATAGTCTTGTAATAATGATAAATAAATGCATGTACATAAAATAATGCTATAGGATGCATAATGTTTAATATGATGTCTTTGTCAGTAGATCTGCACTGTGGATGCCCGATTGATCCTACGGGGGTTTACATGCGCGTTCGCCTGGAGGGTTATAGGCGCACAAACCCGCTACACAAATAAGCCATTTTATCCCAATGGTCTAGTGGTTGGGATTCTGACATGGTATCAGAGCGGTCTCGGGCTCTCTCCACCGCAGCTGCGTGAGTGGTTTGCTCGGCGCACCCGCCTTCGGAGTGGAGCTGCTGGAGCTGGAGGTGCTGCGGGAGTTGGAGCTGGAGGCACTGGAGTTGGAGCTGCTGGAGGTACTGGAGCCGCTGGTCCCGGAGGTGCTCGTACTGGAGGTACTGGAGCTGCTGGGGCTGGAGGTACTGCAGCAGTTGGAGCTGGAGGCACTGGCGTTGGAGCTGCTGGAGGTACTGGAGCTGCTGGAGTTGGAGCTGGAGGCACTGGAGCTAGAGCTGCTAGAGGTTCTGGAGCCGCTGGTTCAGGAGGTGCTCGTACTGGAGGTACTGGAGCTGCTGGAGCTGGTGGTGCTGCAGACGTTGGCGCTAGGGACCCTGGAGCTGGAGACCCCGGAGCTGGTGGTGCTGCAGGCGTTGGAGCTGGGACCCCGGAGCTGGAGGCGCTGGCCCTGGGGGTGCTAGTGCTGTTGGTGCTGGTACTGGTGACACTGGACGGCCGCGACCGTACTTCGTTCCCCTGCTTCAGCAGATTCTTGGTCTCCCGTCTTCTACTGGCCTGACTCCTCCCTTACTGTGTCCACCGCTTGACCAGTCGCAGCCGCCGTTACAACCAGCCTCCCCATTCCCTGCTCCTTCTCCTTACACTGAGCAGACCGGAGGTCTTACAGAGCGTCGTGAGCCTGTGTCTCGTCCTGCCTCGCCTGTTCGCGCTGTTCGCACTGGTCGTCGTCTTCCTCGTCCGCGTCCTCCTCCTGTCCCCGGCACGCACCATATGGCACTTCGTCCTTCCTCTATTCCACTGCGTGTCCCTCTGCCATCTCCTCCTTTGTCCTCTCTTGCTGACGGTCCGGACCCTGAGTCTGACTTAGTTCATGCTGCCAGTTCTACTCTCCCACGTCTTCTGGCCACTGTTGTCACTGACCCTTCGTTTGAGACTGCTGCTGCGTCTGCCCTTGTTGCTGAGCTTGTTGAATTTGCTGCCGCCTGTCGTCTCGACTACGCCGCTAGTCTTGTTGCTGAATCTGAGTCTGCCTGACCTCCGTCCGTCGGGGGTGAGTGTGCTCTTGGCACGGACGTCCTTGAGGACAGGCAGGAAGACTTTGAGTGTTTTGCAGCTGCTGTACCTCATCTCGTGTCCATGCTGATTGCACCTGAGGGAGACCCGGATGCACCAGACATCCCGACCCCGCGCTCTTACGCAGAGGCGATTAAGGGTCCCTATTCCTCTCAGTGGCAGACAGCCATGGATGCATAGATGGCATCCTGGAAGTCCACAAGCACTTACGTCGACGCAGTTCCCCCTCCTGGGGCGAACATAGTCGATGGCATGTGGATTTTCAGGGTGAAGCGGCCGCCAGGTTCTCCGCCTGCCTTCAAGGCTCGTTACGTTGCACGAGGCTTCAGTCAGCGAGAGGGAGTTGACTTCTTCCAGACCTTCTCCCCTACCCCGAAGATGACTACTATTCGGGTAGTGCTGCACGTCGCCGCTCAGCGTGACTACGAGCTTCACTCTCTCGACTTTAGCACAGCTTTCTTATAGGGCAGCCTGCACGAGGAGATCTGGCTGCGCCGCCCACCTGGCTTCACGGGGTAGTTTCCTGCAGGTACCCAGTGGAGCCTCCGGCGTCCAGTCTACGGTCTCTGCCATGCACCTCGCGAGTGGCACGATACACTGAGGACGACGCTTGCGGCTCTTGGGTTTGCTCCTTCTACTGCTGACCCGTCGCTGTTTCTACGCACCAACACTTCGCTGCCGCCGTTCTACGTCCTCGTCTACGTCGACGACTTGGTCTTTGCCACTGCTGACACGGAGGCACTGGCCCTTGCGAAGTCAGAGCTGCAGAAGAGACACACCTGCACTGACCTGGGTGAGCTGCGCAGCTATCTTGGCTTGCAGATCACCCGGGACAGAGCACGGCGCACCATCACCCTGACTCAGTCACACATGGTGCACCAGGTCCTTCAGCGCTTCGGCTTCCGGTACTCCTCGCCACAGTCCACTCCTCTGCCTACTGATCACTCGCTCTCAGCTCCACCTTCGGACGAGTCCGTAGAGCCGAGTGGCCTGTATCCAGAGCTTGTGGGCTGCCTCATGTACCTGATGACCTGCACTCGACCTGACCTTGCCTACCCTCTTAGCATCCTGGCACGCTACGTTGCGCCCGGGAGACACCGACCAGAGCACTGGGAGGCCGCTAAGAGGGTGTTGCGCTACTTGTGCACTACATCGGGCATGGGGCTCGTGCTTGGAGGATGGGGTCCAGTTGTCCTCACTGGACACGCAGACGCTTCTTGGGTTGACGACCTGGCTACTCAGCGGTCGTCACAGGGTTATACTTTCAGCCTTGGCTCCGGCTCTGTTTCTTCGCGGTCTACCCGCTCGTCTTCAGTTCTCAGTTCCAGTTGTGAGGCTGAGATCTACGCAGGGGCCATGGCTGCACAGGAGTTACGCTGACTCACCTACCTGCTGACCGATTTGGGAGAGCGGCCTCGTTCGTCTCCAGTTCTGTACATAGACAACAAGGCCATGATTGCCTTGTGTCAAGAGCACACACTAGAGCACAGAACGAAGCACATCGCTCTGCGTTAGTTCCTTGCTCGAGAGCTGCAGCCGCGTGGCCAGCTTCGTCTTGCTTACGTGGCCACTAGGGCCAACACTGCTGATATATTCACCAAGGCACTTCAGCCTGGTGATCATCAGTGTTTCTGTACTATTTTAGGCCTTGTGCATTCCTTGCCTCATTTGCTCACTGCTTGACTTTGCTTGTACTGTGATATATATATTTCTGCATGCTTTCTCTTTCTAGGTTCTGATCACTGTACTGTTTGTTCTCCCTTATATAACTCTGCATGTGAACTGGCCTTGTGGCCATTTGCTTGTACTCGAAATGTGTGGTGACTTCGTGATCCACCCCGAGCTTGCTTTGCTTTTCTTGACTGGTCTTGTGACCAATTGCTCTCCCCCACTTTGCCTATGGGGGTGTGTCAAACTGTTATAATGCTTACTTTGTGTAGGCTATAGTGGGGTAGCCCATAAGGGGTACAACCCAATTAGGGTTAGTACTTGTACCCAACTCTTTCATAGTTCATTAATTTCTCGTTCATTCTTCTGACAAAGTCTTCCCACCTTTAGGAGATTGCAACAGATGGAGCGTGAGTACCAAGTTTGTCGCTAGCAGAAATTTTTGGTCTGTTTGTCCTATATTTGGAGGCAATTTTTTGATTTAATCTGATGATTCAGAAATTAGCACTTAGTGAAATCTGTTCTTTCACAAATGCTTTTCCTCTGTATCTGATCCATCAGATACGTTTTCCATGTTCCTCTGATTCATCAGGAACACTTTCCGGTTTCGTCTGTTACCGGATCTTTCTACCCTTGGGCGTGATTCACG